TACTATAAACTCATCTTCCTTCAACTCTGGTAGAGTATTGATTAGCAGAGTTCTATCTCCAATTTTATTTTTTAATAATGAAACATGAAAACTAGGGTGGATGAAACTATTCTCTAGTAGTTTCAGTTTGTAAGCCATAGGTCCAATCTTCTCTGACACTTGGAAGTGACCATAGTATCGTGCTATTAGTTTGAGTGACATCTTGAGTGTGATGCTCGATTGTCGATATGGCTGTAGTTTTAAATATACCCAATCCCCCACTTTAAACTGTCTTTCTGGCCTGTTTCCATCTGCATATTACTTCATTTTATTGCTTGCAATTGCCAATTGTTCCTTTAGTTGATCAAACATCTAAGCCCTTTGAGTTAGGAATTCTTCAATAGCTGTCACCAAAGTGGAATTATTAGGCAAAACTGGTAAAGGAGGAGGGTACCCATATAGGGCCTGAAATGGTTTCATCTTCTGATAATTGTCAAAAGTGGTGTTGTACCACCACTCTGCCAAATACAACCATTGTGCCCAATGTCTGGGTTGTGCAAAACACATGCATCGCAGAAAAGCTTCTAGGCAACAATTTACCCTTTCTGTTTGACCATTCGTCTGAGGGTGATAGGCGGTACTAAGTTGTAGTTTAGTGCCCAACAGCTTGAAGAGTTCTTGCCAAAATTAACCAGTGAAGTTCTTTGTCAAAAATAATATTTTCAGGCAGCCCATGCAACTTGAACACCTTTTCCATGAATACCTTAGCAACTGAATAAGGATGAGATATAGCAAAGAAATGGCTACACTTGGTGAATCTGTCCACCACTACTAGTATGGAATTGAACCTTTGAGACTTAGGTAGTTTGTCGATGAAATCCATCAATATGGAATGTCAGGCTTGCGATGGAATAGGCAGCAGCTGAAGTAATCTTGGTAGGCACAGGACTCTGACTTGTATCTTCGACAAACTTCACAAGTTAGAACCCACTCCATTACTGATTTTTGCATCTTGGGCCAGTAAAACACTTGTCTCAAACTCTAGTAAGTGTTCTAGATTCCTGAATGTCCTCCAAGAGGTATTCATGACAAGTCTCCATTAATTTGGACCTCAAATCATTACTACTCCCCACGTACAACTTACCTTTATAATATATAAGTCTAGCTTTGAGAGTACAGTTAGCTACAAAGTCAGGTTTGACTGATCGAGCTTGTAGTAGCATGGCAGCTTCCTCGTCGCCTTCATATGATTCCCGGGCTTCTTCCATCCATGCTAGAATAATTGAAAAAGCAAGGTAGCATAGATACTCCATATCTGGCCTGCGGGATAAAGTATTCGCAGCCTTGTTCTCAACCCCTTTTTTGTATTGAATTCTATAGTCTAACCCCAACAATTTAGTAACCCATTTTTGCTTAACATAAGTGTGTAACCTCTGTCCTGAAAGATGTTTTATGCTTTTGTGATCAGTCCTTATAATAAATTGGCCTTGCTCTAAGTAGTGCTTCCATTTAGAAACTGCAAATAGGATTGCTAACAATTCTCTTTCATATGCTGATAGCTGCTGGTTTCTCGGGCTGAGTGGTTTTGAAAGGAAAGCAATAGACCTTCCCTTTTGCATAAGGACTACGCCAATTCCACAACCACTGGCGTCACATTCTAGTGTAAACCTTTGAGTTAAATCTAGCAAAGCCAGGACTGGAGCTGAAACCATTGCAACTTTGAGGCTTTCAAAAGCTTCTTGAGCCTCAAAACCCCATATAAAAGCATCTTTCTTCAATAAATCTGTCAAGGGTCTGCTGATTGCTCCATTGTTCTTAATGAACTTTCTATAATAACCAGTTAGTCCCAAGAATCATTTTAATTCTTTCAATGTAACTGGTACTGGCCATGAACTCATTGCCTCTACTTTGGATGGATCTGTTGCTACCCCCCTGCTAGTACAAGGTGTCTAAGATAAGCTATCTCGGTCTTTCCGAATTCACACTTTGACATCTTGGCAAATAGCTGCTGCTCCACCAAAATTTGAAGGACTTGTTCTAGATGCCTCAGGTGGGATTTAGGGTTTGGATTGTAGATTAAGATGTCATCAAAGAAAAATAGAACAAATTTTCTTAGATAAGGCTAAAATATTTGGTTCATGAGGGCTTGGAAGGTGGCAAGGGTGTTAGTTAGGCCAAAGGACATAACTAAAAATTCAAAATGGCATGTGTGCGTCCTGAATGTTGTCTTAGGGATGTCCACAGGTTCCTTCCGTATCTGATGGTAGCCAGCCCTGAAATCAAGTTTAGAAAAAATGGTTGCCCCATGGAGCTCATCCAATAAGTCTTCAATTATCGGAATTGGAAACTTATTCTTCATAGTCCTCTCAGTAAGTTGTTGATAATCTATGCAAAATCTCCAACTATTATCCTTCTTCTTGACTACAAGAACTGGAGATGTGTAACGGCTGCAACTAGGCTGAATTATTTCAGAATTCAACATTTCCTTAGTGAGTTTTTCAATCTCTGTCTTTTGGAAGTAAGGATATCGATATGGCTTGACATTGACAAGTTCGACTCCTGCTTTTAACGGTATTTGATGGTTGTGTGTCCTAAAGGGGGGTAACCCTTTGGGTTATGAGAATATACACTGGAATCTATGAAGAACCTTCCTCAATCCCCACTGGAACTCATTGTCCTGCTGTGACCTTCTTGTCACTTCAGAATTTCTGATGGTTAGTGAAAATAGCCTCATTTTTATTCCATTCCATTTGTTTTTAACCAGCTTCTGTAACCTTTTGCAACTCATCATCTTTAAGGAAACTTCCTCCGTTATACCTTTTAATTTCACTAATTTCCCATCTTTCTTAACTATCAAACGATTTTCCTCAAAATCAAATTTTACTGGTGTGCAAGTCTTCATCCAATCTACAACCAATATCATATCATAGTCTCCTAAATCTAATACCCTTACATCAAACTGGAATTTATGCCCCTGCATAGCCCATGTATAGCCCAAACATTTGGCCTTCACCATTAGTTTTCTACCATCAACTACTACAACAGTCATTGGAGAAACTTGCATCATCTCCAGCTTAAGCTCCTTTGCAGTCTTGTCATCCACGAAGCTATGAGTACTCCCATTGTCAATTTGTATCAAAATCGCCTTTCCTTTCATTTGCCCTTTGAGCTTGATAGTTTTATCACTTACTCCCCCATCGATAGCATTCATAGATAACTTCATTCACCCTTCCTTTTCATCATGACATTTAATCCCTTCCTGTTCATAGCCCTCTTCCATTGCCCCCTGTTTTTCTTCTACTAACAATTCTTCTAGTTCTCCTTGTAAGGCCATCAATTTCTTCGATTGACATTGGTGCCCTAGAAAATACTTGTCCCCACATATGTAGTAGCTCCCATGGTTTTCCTTTGGTTGGATTTTATTTGTGTTAGACCTACTAGATTCCATGAAAGAGGATTTTTGGCTTGAATGAGCAGATTTTATGGGGTTTGTGTTCGTGGAATTGGCTTGGTTTTTGTACTATGGGGCAGAGTTGCTAGGAGAATGAATCTGGTGTTTGTAGAATTCGGGTAATTGGGTTTTAGATAAGGTTGGTAGGACTGTGGGTGTTTGCTTTGGTAATAGAATATGAATTTTGGTTGTGGTTATGGTTTAGGGCTTTAGCTGTCTCCTGAAGGATAATTTCTTGAATCTTGGCCTATTCAATGGCTTGGTACAAATTGGTGGGCCTTAGGAGCCTCACCATGGGCTTAATTTCACTTTTGAGGCCCCCAATGAAGTTAGATAGGAAATAGGACTTAGTCAAGTTGGGGTTCAGTCTCTCTATATGAGGTTTAAGTTCTTCAAATTTGATTTGAAACTCCTCCACACTTCCTTCCTGCCGTAATCAGTTAAACGTCTCAACTATATCCTCCATCAAATCATCCCCAAACCTATCAAACAGGGCTTTCTCAAATTCCTCTCATTCTATCACTCATTTTTCCTTACTCTAATTTTGAAACCACATCTCTGTTTTTCTAGATGAAAATAGAGAAGCTAATTCAACCTTCCTACTATCATCCACCTCATAAATATGGAAATACCTCCTGCATTTAATAACCCAAGTCTTAGGATCATCTCCCTCAAACATAGGAAGATCAACTTTGGGCAATAATTTGCTCCAATAAACAGATGTTTGAGTTGTGTCATTGCCATTAATATCACTATATCCCTTAGGAGTTGGTAAAATTCCCCTGGATGATTCGACCCCAGAGTTAGATTCCTTACCTTGATGTAAATTTTGGACCATCTATGTAAGGTTGGCGAGGATTATTTGATTTTCAGCAAATGCCTTTTGCATTTCATTCCTCATGCTCTGTTGTTCAGATAGCAACTCTTCATACAGCGACTGAGATTTTTGTTGGTCCTTCGTCATCGCTAATTGCTCCAGTCTCATATCTTCGAATCATCGGAGGTTCTCTCACTGAATCACCTCCAATCGTTGGAGCCCAGAGTCATTAACCTCGTCCAATCGATTTTGTAACGAATTTAATTGATCCTCCAGACCTTGCATCACCGACTCTTCTGTCGAAGCGGCCTTAGTGTTCCTCGTGTTTTTACTCATCTGTAGAGTTGAAGCCCAATTTTCGTTTTGCTCTGATACCAAATTGTTATGACTGAAACCAGTCCTGAGAAATTAAGAGAAGAGAGTAGAAGGGAAGAAGAAGGAGAAGAGAATGGAAAAAAAAAAAAATAGAGGGAGAAATTTAGAGAGTTTTTTGTATTAATTCATTGATAATCCCTCTTTACAAATATTGAGTATATATGGCGGTTTGTTAGTGACCATCTCTAACCAACTACAGCTGATAGTGCCTAAGGGTCTAAAGAAGTATAACAAACTCTTCTTGAAATTATGAAAAACATAACAGTCCAAAAAGCATAACTAATTTGCCTTTCCCTTTCCCTTTCCCTTCCTTTTATACTAACAGCAATCAACACATGGTGAAATAAAAACATATCTTTTCAGGCACGACAATTCCACTTCAGAAGTTGAATTAAATTTCCAAAACATTAACCATTCTTAAATATAAGCAATTCAAACAAAGAAGACAGTACTGTTTGAAACTAGTTTGGGCAGTTAGATATAACATTCTACCGCCTCATCCAAATTACACATTTTAAAAAGAAGCAATTCATGTATGAAACCCCTCGCGCTCAAGAAACAGTGGTTTCCTTGACAGATTCACGCCACGCATACTCCCTTGCTCCTTCCTTGTCAACTATCTTTATCACAAAGTTTGGTGGTGCCACAACCAGCCTAGACCTGATCTCCATTATGCACTTATCAACCAAATCTACAGCTTCTTCCACTGACATACCACTGTGGAAGTGTCTGTCCATCATGGAGAGTGAAAAATATGAGCCATAACCAAATGCACCCTTATCAACCTTGTGAAGGCTAGCAATGTAGTCAATGTAGTATAGAGAGGGTCCTGTCTCCTTGTCATAGCCAGCCAAAAGAATGTTGACCATGTATGGGCTCTGCAAACCAAATACAACAATTGGCAATGTCATAATTTGAAAATAGGACTAGCGAAGTGAGAAAAATTAGTATTAATGAACAAATGCAGTTACAGGCGTGTTCATGTTCCATGCAACCACTTGGTCCAACTGAACATATACTTGAACCGATCACATGTATATTCCATAGCAGTTCTATTGAAGATATAACATGCTGGGCACATTATGGCAAGGTAACAGTAGACAGAAATTACAACTTCATTTGCCTGAAACAGGTCTAACAATTTAAAGGTGTATTTCAATTCTGCCATGAAACTATCATAAACCTGCAAGCTTGATAAGTGCCTTACTTTCTATGGATTTAGAAAAGATAAAAAATTTCCTCACCAACCAAAAGGAGAATTGAAATAAAACTTGTGAAAAAACAAAATTACATGAACCATTTAGAGGCTCATCTCCCATGAACATCAATCAGAGAAGAAAATTCCAACACCCAAACAAGCTAGTGATCATAAGTTAAGATTATATGTTTAATATTATGAATACAAAAGCATACACATGTATAGATGTATTGTCATGTCTTTTCTTTTGAGAGATCCTGTCTCCATGCAATTAACCAAGTGTAAATTCTCTCTCTCTCTCTCTCTCTCTCTATTTGTGAGTATATAAGACCTTCTAAACCAACAGACTTGAGATGCCCCTAGTTAACAATTGAGTCATGGCTAATTGAATAAATAGTTTGTTTGTTAATACTAAAAGTCAAGAAATATGGTCGACAACACAATAAAAAGGGCCTCTAAGTACTCTCAAAGATAAATGGTTGTGCTCTCTCTTTCAAAGTTACTTTATTTTCTGTCACTAGGTTACTGTCGCTTTATCACCAGTAATAAAACTCCTGTCCTGTACAAAAGTTACGTGAAGGGCGATCAAGAAAGGACTAACCATTAACGTAGATTATAAATGTGTGAGCTAAAGCATCAAAATCATATTTATGCCCCTTTTTCAAAGGAAATTTAGAAATTAAACCTAATGACCAAATGGGAAGCAATCATAAAAGGAAGATAACAGGAAGATATCCTCCAAACAAGAACTTGAAAGGAACTAGCAGAAATAAAGAACAATAATAGAACTTGATTTAACCACACTCTTCACTCTAGGACAGACAGTGGACAAAGTAATTTAGGCCATTGAAAAGAATTGACCTTTCTAAGGCTTATCTAGTGGTACCGGATAATGCAAATACTAAGAAAAATTCACCATACTTGTAAATATCTAAATCCCTATTACTTGTCTATCCATAAAAATAAAAATAAAATTCTAACTCATCACAGAATGGTATTCACCTTTGTATTAATCTGTGCTTAGACACTCAATGTTTTAAATATGACCTGATGAAAGTCACTTACACAATACTTTCATCTCAGCTTAACCAAAACACCATAAGTTTAGCACTTATTGCACACAAGAGACAGGACATTCATGAAGAAGAAGTTGTAAAATAGAGACACAAAAATAACCTCGTCATTAGTCATCACATTTCATAGTACCAACAACAAAGTTTCTAGAAGATGTAATCTCAGTCTTATAAAAATTCAAAAATTAAAGTTAAAAAAAAATATACTCAAAATGGGAAAACCAGTAATTTGGATAAGTTTCACATCAATTGATTCCCCAATTAAAAGCCAAAGTTGTCACACATTAGACTATAACCCTTCCTACATGTTGTCCAAGAATAATCTAGCTTAATTTTTCCAGGCAATCACTAGCAAGAAAAATTTGCAATGCCTACAGCGGTAACTCATCAAAATAACTCCTTAGCATACATTGCACAAGAAAAATAGTAGCCAAACAAGAGCAGGGCTACCCATTTTTTTCCACTTCCAATTGCCAAGGGCCAATTTCTTCTTGTTTTTAATCAATCAAAGCATAAGATGAGAAACATACAAGAACCCTGAGTAGCATATCAATACATAACAACAGACATGAAAAAAAATATCACCTAATTTCGTATAAACACCAGCCAGCAAGTAAAACAATGTCGAAAAAGTGATTTAGTTCCAAGACTTATTCACATAAGGGGTCTAGTAATACCTAATATGCACTACGTCACTTCAATGGAACACATTTATATCTACAAGATATGAAACATTAGATTCAAATAATCCAAGCACTAAATCTAATTTACTAAAAGAAAGGAAGACCTTGCTGAAGGTCTACTTACATCACTAGAAGAATCCCAAATGCCTTACTAATTATCAAACGATCTTCAAATTTTATTAATCATTTATCAATTGATTAGTCAAATACACAACCACGACACTTAATAAGCCAGTAAATCAAAAAATGGCACACTTAAAAAAACCCTAATTCTACACCGCAACTGAAACAATTACCTTTCTCAAAGCAGTAGCAAGCTCTCCTCGCGTAAAGTTGGCTGCTGCCGCCGTCGTCAACGGAATTCCGTTGCGAAACTGGTACAACGCCACGTTCTTCTGAATAAACTCGGTAAACTGAACTCTGTAGAAGAAGAAATCGAATAAACAAACAAATAAATACGTATACTACGCGTACGTATGCGTAGAGAAAGACACACATAAACATGTATAAATAAATGTACCTGTCACCGGGTTCGCCGCTGGCGGCGATGAGTTTGTGAGAATCGAGGACCATGATCTTGTCTTCGTTAGATTTGTGAACAAGTATACTGTGAACGGCCGACGTGTCGGCCACTAAGATTGCGAAACCGTTTCCGACTAAACCGAACACGCACTCCATGTTTCGGTGGATCTGCTGGTGGTGGTATCGTCGATCTGTTTCTGTGTGTTGTTGGATTACTGGCGAGATGAGAGTGAGGTTTTATTTTGTTTTACTTTTTTAAGTAAATGGCGTCTTGAGGAACAAGAAAGAATCGGGTTTTGGGAGGGTAGTTTGGTCATTGAGATTTTACTTGGGAGTTTAGACTCCTTTGTTTGGATGTAGGAAGAGCGATGGTCTCAATTTGGAATGATATTAGTATGCGCTGGTTTTAGATTATCCCAACCTTTATTAAGCAGATCAGTTTTACAGTTGCTTGAGTATGTGTTTCATATGAATAAAACAATACCTATAAGATTAATATCCCATTTAATCTAACAGTTGACTTTAAAAGTAATAAAATTAATGTCAAGATAGTTGTTAAGTATCTCCTTCAAATTTGATTAGTCCATGTTGTGCGAGGATCCGCGATCAGCTTGGAGCAAGCAATAGTTCAGAAAGAGTTATAGCTCGAAGCTAATAGTGAAGCGGCAATCAGATGGGAGCAAGTTGTTGGACGGTTATCTTTTAAATCATGGATAAACATTATCTCCTAAAATGAAAGAGAAGATCACGAGAATAGTCCCTACAATTTCGTATTGTCAATCACGTCAAGAATTATGAGATTAACTTCTTAAAATCATCCCATTGTCCCTATTTTTTATCTTGTAAATGTTGCAATTTCATAGTATGAAAACCCCTAAAAATCATTGTGAAGGGATTAGAAAATCTTAAGAGGAGAGACTACTATTGTAAGACAAAAACACTTGAATAGCATAACAGTGGACGTAATTTGAACTCGTGGAACCACTTTAAAAGTCTTATTTGTTTCTTTTTCTTTACAATTTTATTTATTTTTTGTTGATTATTATTAATCACACTCACATTTTACCCACTTCCTTTGAGATCAATTGGGTATTGCGGGTTGTTGCGGATTTTCGTAACCACAGTCCATAAGCTCGTATGTGTTGATCTCATCCTCACGACTATTCATTTATGTATCCATTTCTCCTGTTTTTGTTTACATTTTCGTTTTTTAAATTGCAAAAACCAATAAAATGACACTTCCTCACTCCTCAAATCTTCAGACTCAAATGCAATTAACTCTTTATTCTTATCAAAATATGACTCATATTCAAATTAAATCAGAAGATAACAACACTGCAAAAGACAGAAAAAATGGCAAACAAAGTGGTTTGCATTATTGGTGCTGTGTGCCTTGTTTTAGTTGCCGCGGTTGAGGCTAAGGAAGATGATATCACCAAATGCTTTAGTCATTGTGAGAAGGAATGCCTTCGTCATGACCATCCGATCACCTTCTGCTAGATGAAGTGCGAAACTGAGTGCTTCAACAAAGAGGTTGACAATAATTAACCATTCTTAAAGAAGTTTTCTTGCTTTAACATAATTTTATTAAACTTCTGACATACGTCTTCCTATTTGTGCAGCCAACTTACAAATAAGTTTTCCTTGACCAATAAAGCCAAGGCACACTTGGCGGGTATCCACCCTGAATAAGCACATCTAAAATGAATGAAGTGCATATATCCTCATTTGTAATAACTTCATCTAATGATCTAACGCACAAAGTTTTCTCCCTTTTTCTATCTCAAATCCCATTCTCCTCTCCATTCTTCCAATGTTACTGCTCAATACATTAATTTCAACAAGAAAAGAGGTCAATAAACGATAAAAAGGGAAGAAAAAAGATCATTTCCATCCGTAAATGTCAACAACATCTGAGCGAATTCTGAACACTTTCATTCAAGATTGTTGGAAATACAATTCAATTTAGGTTTAGACATTCTGAGATGGTGGCCATGGTCCAGGACATTTGGGTGGAGCAGGTGGGTTGCAAGGAGCACCTTTTGCAAATGAACAGATGCACTCATCAAAGGGAATTCCCCCGCCAGCAGAGCGACAGAATGCTCTAACTTTCCCAATTCCCCTGTAGCAGGGCTCACATACTGCAACGCACGCATTCACATCAGGACATCCACCACCCCTCACTGCTAATTCACAACCTTTGCCTGCATACAATAACAAAAAACGGATCACACAATAACATTACTTAAGATATGTAACAGGAAACATAAACGCAGAAACTTCACTTCACAGAATCGTATGCATTTTAGTTCCTGGCTTAGCTGTACAACTATAAGCTTTATAGGTGGAAGACATTTATATTTTCACTGTGTGATGAGCAAACCTGCAGTGAATACAGAGAGGACGAGGAGGAAGGAGAGGGAAACAGAGAGTTTGGCCATCTGAATCGTGAATTCTTCACTTCTTGGATAGTACGGGGTCGGCCATGGTGGGGTTTTATAGGTGGTGACCATAATGAAATTGACTTCCTCAGGAGATTTTGTTCAAGTTATAACATTAATAAATGGATACAGTGGTGTTTAACATGTCACAAGTTTCATGCCATATCATATGTCATGTAATTGTCTTGTGATATTTATGAGAAGTTATTGATGCACCTTCTTAAAATGAAAGAATTAAATATTATTAAATGGTATTGATTTTATGTTCTTAATTCAATTTTAATACGTTTCTTTGTTCTTCGGCTGATTTCTGTATTTTAATTGTCTTCCCCTCAAATAAGTTGGTTTCTCTCTCTCTCTCTCTCTCTCTCTTTTCGTTAAAGGCATGCATGAAAAGATGATAAAGATATCGACGGTAATCACATAAGTTATATTGGCTATATTTGGCAGGAAAAGCTGCTGCTGGTTTAACAAAGTTTAATTTATTAATAACATGAAGTTAAGCAATAAGAGTTCCATTGAGTGTATTTTCAACTGGTGGTGACCACAGTGCAGGACATCTGGGCGGAGCAGGAGGGTCACAGGGGGCTCCACGTTTAAAGGAACAAATACATTGATCATATGGGATTCCTCCACCAGCAGCCCTACAAAACACAGCTATGATCCCAACACCCCTGTAACATGGGCGGCATAACTCCACACACTTACTCACATCGGGACACCCTCCACCGATTGTAGCTTTCTCACACGCTCCCTCAACCTTTGGCAACATACTTTTTACTGCACACAACCAAAAATTAGTAGCAACATTATAAAACCAAGATGATAAAAAAGTTGCCGCAAGCCATGAATTCAGGAAGAGCTTTTAACATTCTCCCAGATTCATGATGAGGACATTGAACAAACCTGAAGCGAACACAAGCATTGCAAAAAGCAGGTAAAAGGAAGCAGAGAATTTGGCCATCTCAATCCTTCACAACTGCAATGAAGAAGCTTTGTAGATAGTGTTTTGACAAGGCTCTGGTTCTTATAGATTATGGACTAAACTAGCTTGAGATACAAAATCTAAAAAGTTACAATAAAATTGGCAACATAATCCCAACAATTAAATTATGTCAGAGCAAATCTGTGACCAAAATCTTACAGGATATAACTTTAAATAGATTACTTATTCCCATGAAGTAGAAACAAGAGGCGTTGCTATTATTAGAAGGCTCCCAACCAAATTCGGTGAGTCTGCCAATTATAAAATGGTGCATCTGGGATTATCCTTCGTTATCTAGGAGCATTAATGATAAAAGGTGTAAACTAAATATACATATTTTGCAGCCAAATGTTTTAAGGAGGCGTCTGATTCAAGAAATGTTGGATTATTGGGAATGTTGGATTATTGGAAAGTTAGATTACCTTGAAGATTACTAAGAATCTTTAGAAAAATTTGTTTGGTTAATTGGTGAGTATGTTATATTAATATGTTTGATTGAGATAAATAAATTAGTGGGTATGTTATATAAATTATTGAATTGTCCTCTACTTAAATATTATTATTATATTATTTTTTAATATTGATTATTATTTAGATTATTATAACCCCCTGCATTTAAAAACTTAGCAAAAATAACCACATAATAAAAGTTTGGAAAATCAATAAAACACCCCCATCAACCCATCCACTGTCAACCACAACAAGCTGCCGACAGCTGACAACCTAACAACACACGAAAGGCAGAAAATGGCCTCCGTGTGCCGTATGGTCATTTCTAACCAGAGATCTAGCCGGAAATGGCCAAACATGATAGATCTAGCCGTCGACGACCAGATCGACGGATCTAGCCTAAAATGGCCATATCGATGCACGGCGGCCATTTTCGGCCTTCTGTGTGTCGTTCCGACGGCGGCCACAGCTGGCCGCGACGATGGTTGTAGGTGGTGGCAGGTGGGTGGGGGTGGTGGCTTGGGTGAGCTGCAATCTGTTTTGAATTCAAGGGTAATTTTGTCCAAAAAAGTTAATTAAATGGATGAAATAGTAAAAGTCAAATTCATGTAAATAAATTTAAAAATAAGGGCATTATTGTCCTAATTCAAGGGTAATTTTGTCCAAAAAGTTAATTAAATGGGATGAAATAGTAAAAGTCATATTTATGTAAATAAATTTAAAAATAAGGGCATTATTGTCCTAAAATTTTATTAATAAGAGATAGAATTGAAACAAAAAAAGATAATTTTGGTAATCTTGAATACCTAAGAAAATGGAGGTAATCAAATTACCTCTAATATTACCAATGGTAACCACTATTGGTATTTAAATATTAGCGATATCTTATATTACTTGATAACCAAACATGATAATCAAGTAATATAAGATGACTTAACTCTAGTAATCTTCAATAACCCCCAACCAAACACCCCCTAAGGGTGCATTTGGTTCAGAGAATGTTGGATTACTAGTAATGTTGGATTATTGAAATCTTATATTACCTTGAAGATTACTGAGAATCTTTAAGAAAATGTGTTTGGTTAATTGGAATAAATTGGTAGGTATGTTATATTAATATGTTTGGTTAGGATGAATAAATTGGTGGGTATGTTATTTAAATTATTAAACTGTCCTCTTTTTAAATATTAATATAATATTAATTTTATTATTAATTTTTAAATAATTTCTTTTAACCCCCAATATTTCAAATTTAGCTAAAACACCTCTGCTTATATAAAATTTTAATTTATAACAAACTCATCCCCACCACCCTGCCGCCACCACAAACTACTGTTGGAAGTCGCTGTCAGCAACCCATCGTGACCAGGAGGCCCCGTTATGGCCCTTTTTGGCCATATTGATGGCTGAAAAGGCTATATCGGGAGCAGATCTGACCGAAAATGGCCAGATTGATGGGTCTAGCAGTTAACAGCCAGATCTGCTCCCGATATGGCCTTTTCGGCCATCAATATGGCAAAAAATAGCCATATTGGGGCCTCCCGGTCACGGTGGGTTTTGCTCACGATGACTCCAAGTGACTTCTGGTGACTTCCCACAATGGCTGGCGATGGTTTGGCTGGCAGCAGTAGGTGGGTAGGGGTGGTAGCTTTGGTAAGCTGAAATTTGTTTTGATTTCAAGGGTAATTTTGTCTAAAAAATTAATTAATTAGGGTGAAATGGTAAAAGCAATATTCATGTAAATAAATTTAAAAATAAGGGCATTATAGTCATAAAATTTTATTAATAAGAGATACAATTATAACAAAAAAAAATTACTCAAATAATCTTATAATACCTAAAAAAATTATTGATATTATTAATAATAATCATTATTGATATTTAAAAATTATTGATACCATATATTACTTAACAACCAAATATAATAATTTAAACTTAGTAATCCCTCGTATCCTCCAACCAAACGTCTTAAAAGGACAAAAAGAGACTCGTGGCACAAAGCAAACTGCTACCAAAAGCTTGAGTGTGTATATATATATATATATATATATATATATTTGTTTCATTCACCCACTCAGAAACCAATTAAGTCCAAAACTGATGGCAAAGAGTGCCCTTTCCCTTCCTCTCTCTGTTCCTCCTCTTCAGGCCTGGCCAGTTCAGGCCCTGCCACAAAATATGATTCCTTGGGGTTGTCACTGAAAATCCTCTCTATCAATCTTGCAGGTACGTTGAACGCGATTTCCAGGGCCTCTCTCTCCACTTGGTTCATTATGTTAATTTTCCCTTCGTATCAATAGAGCAGAAATTGAAACTCTTAGCTTGTAACTATAATTATCTAATTCTGCCAAAAAATATTACTTGATTAATGCTAATTTTCTTATATGATCTTTATTTTTATTGGTTTTACCTGCAAGGAAGTTTCTCTGGTTGTTCAGGGCATTGATTCCAAACCCAACTGTTCGCAGATTCTCATTTTGAGCAACCAGGGCTATGGGATGACCTGCCGGGATTATGAAAACGTCACCTGGAGACAATTCAGCTGTGATTTTTTGAAGTCTTCCACTACTTTCTTCTTCCTCTCTTTGTTCTCTTGGCTCCTGTGATCCTTGGCCTTGATGTGAAAGATGTGGGCAACCCATTTCTAAGCGTCCCCTTCCTTCTATTACCAGAACAATTGTTGTGGTCTTGGAATTGTAGTGTGGAACCATCATTCCTCCCTGCAAAATGCAAGATATGTTGGTAACACAGTAAAAAAAATGTATGCGTTTACAATGGAAGTAGTTGCTTTCTTTACTTGGTTGATGTCAACATAAGTGACAGAAACTCCCAGTTCTTGTAGTTGCTTGGGATTCTCATTGGGAGTGGCCTCAAAAATTATTATGATATAGAGGTTCTTTGCTAAGCAGATTGAACGGACTACCAGATTCACTGCTTGACTTCTTTGGTGTAGCGTGTTGACTTAATGCTTTAAGCTGCTCTGGCGTGGCTCTTCTGATTGCGCCATGCTGCCTCTGCTCCCCCTCAAAGAGCCTCTGTAGCTGGTCACTTGGTGTCTGGTAAAAAACAAATCGAAAAGTCAGAAACAACCGGAACTAAAACAATAGCCAAAATATTATTCAAATAAAAAAAATAAAAATAAAATTAAACAATTCTACGTTTAGAGCGCGCTGGAGGATGTCATTGCTGAAGACTCTGTAATATGACTCTGGATTTCCACCTCCAGCTGCAAAGTATTTCTGCACCGGAAACAAGTTCAAAAATTATATGTGTAACAGTGTTGACAATCAGAGAAGAAATAATGAAGGGAACGAGGAACTAATGTTGAATAAGTACCCTAAATTGGCTAGGAGTGTTAACAGGATGGAAGAGCACCGGCAACAAGTTCAAAAATTATAGCTAATTGTAGCTTTTCACTATTCTCTTGGTTAATTAGATATACAGTAACCCCTGCAGGAACTCTAAGCATATCTCCAAGACCCATGTTGAAGGATTCCCTTCTTTCTTGTGACACAAGAGTAATGATTCCCTTTCCTGTAAAGAGGGGAAAACAGAATTAACCAACCATGCATGTTTTAATTGGATAACAATTGAAATTCTGAAAGAAATACTCTTGGCTCACCTCTTACAACAACCGCGATAGTTTCAGCATCAGAATGGTGTGGGACAACTAATGTGCTAGGATTAGCCTCTGTAATGGCCAATCGGTAATTGTCGATGCCACGAAGAAGTTGAGATCTTTCGCTAAACCTCTGTAAAACCTTGATATGACCCTCTTGGGACTTGAAAAGATAATGGAATCTCTGTGCGTGGAAGTAGTAAGGATTGTTCCTCTGTTGCTGCTCTTCTCTTTGTGGATTTTGGTCGCCTTTTCGCCTTTTTTCCTCTTTTTCTCTCTGTTGCTCGCACCAGCTCTTGCATTGTTGCTGATGTTGCTCCCCTCTCTCTTGCCTTTCACATTGTTTTCGGCACTGTTCGTATGGTTGATGCGACCCATGATAGTTTTCTTCGCCAGCACCTCCATTGCCTCGTAGTAGTTGACTTATTTCTTCCTGTTGTAAATTCCTTTTTGTGCCTTCATATTGTCTCTTGCACCTTTTCTTGCACTGTGGCTCTTGCCTAACCGGTTGCTTCTTGCACAGTTGCATGCATTGCTCGAATTTTTCATCTGGGTCTCGCGATGAGTAATCGTGACGACTGACTTCTCGCTCACGCTCTCTGTCTCGCTCTCTTTCTTCTCTTTCGCGTTCTCTCTGTCGCTCTATTTCTTCTTGTTCTTCTTCTTTTTCCTCCTCTCGTCGCTCTCTTTCTTCTCCTTCCTCCTCTCGTCGCTCTCTTTCGCGTTTCCTCGTTTGCTCTTTTTCACGTTCCCTCTGTTGCTCTCTTTCCCGTTCCCTCTTTTGCTCTCTTTCACGTTCCCTCTGTTGCTCTCCTCCTTCACGCTCTCTTTCTTGCTCTTGATCTCCTTCTTCCCGCTCTTGTCGTTCCCTTTGCTCTTTTTCTCTTTTTTCTCGTTCTCGTTCTATTTGCTCTCGTTGGCGTTCTTGTTCTTCCTCCCTCACTTCCTCCACACAGCGTTGCTCACACTGCTGCTGTTGCGTCCTCCCGCTTTCCTCCGATTCACAACGTTTCCGACACTTCTGGAGTTCCCGCCGAGAGCCCTCCCCTTCCCAAGGAGTGGTACCTACATACTTCCTGTCACAACGAGCTGCGCAATCAAATAAGCCTGGAAAATCCTTCTCCTCCCGCCGGCATTGATCTACGCATCGGTCGAGGTCCGTCCTCTGTCTAGGAATCCCATGACCCAGTGACAGCAACCCAGAAGAGAAATATATGGTGAACACAAACCATAAGAATAAAGGATAGGGAAACTTAGTTTTGATCACCATTGTTAGCTTCAGGATAGTTGTTAATTAAATGTAAGACAATCCACTTCCTGCATTTTTAAGTACAGAAAGCTGGGAAGCTATGCATGCTGATGCTCTTAGATGTTAGTTACATTTGGCCTTCTGATTCCTATGCAAGGAGACAGGTGTTTTATACTTCCACCATATTTGAAACAAACAAGTTCAATGACATCTGATATTACCTCATTACATATATAACTATATATGCAGCGAAGCGATGGTGTTTGATTCGGAACGGTCCACAGCTGATTACGAACGGCTCCAATGTTGATTTTCTGAGTGCTGGACACGATGCACGCGGCGGCCATTTTCGGCCTTCTGTGTGTCGTTCCGACGGCGGCCACAGCTGGCCGCGACGATGGTTTGTAGGTGGTGGCAGGTGGGTGGGGGTGGTGGCTTGGGTGAGCTGCAATCTGTTTTGAATTCAAGGGTAATTTTGTCCAAAAAGTTAATTAAATGGAGAATAGTAAAAGTCAAATTCATGTAAATAAATTTAAAAATAAGGGCATTATTGTCCTAATTCAAGGGTAATTTTGTCCAAAAGTTAATTAAATGGGATGAAATGTAAAAGTCATATTTATGTAAATAATTTAAAATAAGGGCATATTTGTCCTAAAATTTTATTAATAAGAGATAGAATTGAAAAAAAAAGATATTTTGGTAATCTTGATTACCTAAGAAAATGGAGGTAATCAAATTACCTCTATATACCAATGGTAACCACTATTGGTATTTAAATATTAGCGATATCTTATATTACTGATAACCAAACATGATATCAAGTAATATAAGATACTTACTTAACTCTAGTAATCTTCAATAACCCCCAACCAAACACCCCCTAAGGGTGCATTTGGTTCAGAGAATGTTGGATTACTAGTAATGTTGGATTATTGAAATCTTATATTACCTTGAAGATTACTGAGAATCTTTAAGAAAATGTGTTTGGTTATTGGAATAAATTGGTAGTATGTTATTTAATAGTTTGGTTAGGATAATAAATTGGGGGTATGTTATTTAAATTATTAACTGTCCTCTTTAAATATATATTAATATTAATTTTATTATAATTTTTAATAATTTCTTTTAACCCCCAATATTTCAAATTTAGCTAAAACACCTCTGCTTATATAAAATTTTAATTTATAACAAACTCACCCCACCACCCTGCCGCCACCACAAACTACTGTTGAGTCGCTGTCACAACCCATCGTGACCAGGAGGCCCCGTTATGGCCCTTTTTGGCCATATTGATGGCTGAAAAGGTAATCGGGAGCAGATCTGACCGAAAATGGCCAGATTGAGGGTCTAGCAGTTAACAGCCAATCTGCTCCCGATATGGCCTTTTCGGCCATCATATGGCAAAAATAGCCATATTGGGGCCTCCCGGTCACGGTGGGTTTTGCTCACGATGACTCCAAGTGACTTCTGGTGACTTCCCACATTGGCTGGCGATGGTTTGGCTGGCACAGTAGGTGGGTAGGGTGGTAGCTTTGGTAAGCTGAAATTTGTTTTGATTTCAAGGGTAATTTTGTCTAAAAAATTAATTATTAGGGTGAAATGGTAAAAGCAATATTCATGTAAATAAATTTAAAATAAGGGCATTATAGTCATAAAATTTTATTAATAGAGATACAATTATAACAAAAAAAAATTACTCAAATAATCTTATATACCTAAAAAAATTATTGATATTATTATAATAATCATTATTGATTTTAAAATTATTGATACCATATATTACTTAACAACCAAATATATAATTAAACTTGTATCCCTCGTATCCTCCAACCAAACGTCTTAAAAGGACAAAAAGAACTCGTGGCACAAGCAAACTGCTACCAAAACTTGAGTGTGTATATATATATATATATATATATATATATTTGTTCATTCACCCACTCGAAACCCATTAAGTCCAAAACTGATGGCAAAGTGCCCTTTCCTTCCTCTCTCTGTTCCTCCTCTCAGGCCTGGCCAGTTCGCCCTGCCACAAAATGATTCCTTGGGGTTGTCACTGAAATCCTCCTATCATCTTGCAGGTACGTTAACGCGATTTCCAGGCCTCTCTCTCCACTTGGTTCATTATGTTAATTTTCCCTTCGTATCAATAGCAGAAATTGAAACTCTTACTTGTAACTATAATTATCTAATTCTGCCAAAAAATATTACTTGATTAATGCTAATTTTCTTATATGATCTTTTTTTTTTATTGGTTTTCCTCAAGGAGTTTCTCTGGTTGTTCAGGCATTGATTCCAACCCAACTGTTCGCAGATTCTCATTTTGAGCAACCAGGCTATGGGATGACCTGCCGGATTATGAAAACTCACCTGGAGACAATTCAGCTGTGATTTTTGAAGTCTTCCACTACTTTCTTCTTCCTCTCTTGTTTCTCTTGGCTCCTGTGATCCTTGGCCTTGATGTGAAGATGTGGCAACCCATTTCTAAGCGTCCCCTTCCTTCTATTACCAGAACAATTGTTGTGGTCTTGGACTTGTATGTTACTGCTTAATACCTTAATTTTAACAAGAAAAGAGGTCAATAAACGATAAAAAGGGAAGAAAAAAGATCATTTCCATCCGTAAATGTCAACAACATCTGAGCGAATTCTGAACACTTTCATTCAAGATTGTTGGAAATACAATTCAATTTAGGTTTAGACATTCTGAGATGGTGGCCATGGTCCAGGACATTTGGGTGGAGCAGGTGGGTTGCAAGGAGCACCTTTTGCAAATGAACAGATGCACTCATCAAAGGGAATTCCCCCGCCAGCAGAGCGACAGAATGCTCTAACTTTCCCAATTCCCCTGTAGCAGGGCTCACATACTGCAACGCACGCATTCACATCAGGACATCCACCACCCCTCACTGCTAATTCACAACCTTTGCCTGCATACAATAACAAAAAACGGATCACACAATAACATTACTTAAGATATGTAACAGGAAACATAAACGCAGAAACTTCACTTCACAGAATCGTATGCATTTTAGTTCCTGGCTTAGCTGTACAACTATAAGCTTTATAGGTGGAAGACATTTATATTTTCACTGTGTGATGAGCAAACCTGCAGTGAATACAGAGAGGACGAGGAGGAAGGAGAGGGAAACAGAGAGTTTGGCCATCTGAATCGTGAATTCTTCACTTCTTGGATAGTACGGGGTCGGCCATGGTGGGGTTTTATAGGTGGTGACCATAATGAAATTGACTTCCTCAGGAGATTTTGTTCAAGTTATAACATTAATAAATGGATACAGTGGTGTTTAACATGTCACAAGTTTCATGCCATATCATATGTCATGTAATTGTCTTGTGATATTTATGAGAAGTTATTGATGCACCTTCTTAAAATGAAAGAATTAAATATTATTAAATGGTATTGATTTTATGTTCTTAATTCAATTTTAATACGTTTCTTTGTTCTTCGGCTGATTTCTGTATTTTAATTGTCTTCCCCTCAAATAAGTTGGTTTCTCTCTCTCTCTCTCTCTCTCTCTTTTCGTTAAAGGCATGCATGAAAAGATGATAAAGATATCGACGGTAATCACATAAGTTATATTGGCTATATTTGGCAGGAAAAGCTGCTGCTGGTTTAACAAAGTTTAATTTATTAATAACATGAAGTTAAGCAATAAGAGTTCCATTGAGTGTATTTTCAACTGGTGGTGACCACAGTGCAGGACATCTGGGCGGAGCAGGAGGGTCACAGGGGGCTCCACGTTTAAAGGAACAAATACATTGATCATATGGGATTCCTCCACCAGCAGCCCTACAAAACACAGCTATGATCCCAACACCCCTGTAACATGGGCGGCATAACTCCACACACTTACTCACATCGGGACACCCTCCACCGATTGTAGCTTTCTCACACGCTCCCTCAACCTTTGGCAACATACTTTTTACTGCACACAACCAAAAATTAGTAGCAACATTATAAAACCAAGATGATAAAAAAGTTGCCGCAAGCCATGAATTCAGGGAGAGCTTTTAACATTCTCCCAAATTCATGATGAGGACATTGAACAAACCTGAAGCGAACACAAGCATTGCAAAAAGCAGGTAAAAGGAAGCAGAGAATTTGGCCATCTCAATCCTTCACAACTGCAATGAAGAAGCTTTGTAGATAGTGTTTTGACAAGGCTCTGGTTCTTATAGATTATGGACAAACTAGCTTGACATAGAAAATCTAAAAAGTTACAATAAAATTGGCAACATAATCCCAAAAATTAAATTATGGCAGAGCAAATCTGTGACCAAAATCTTACAGGATATAACTTTAAATAGATTACTTGTTCCCATGAAGTAGAAACAAGAGGTGTTGCTATTATTAGAAGGCTCCCATCCAAATTCGATGAGTCTGCCGAGTATAAAATGGTGCATCTGGGATTATCCTTCGTTATCTAGGAGCATTAATGAAAAAAGTTGTAAACTAAATATACATATTTTGCAGCCAAATGTTTTAAGGGGCGTTTGGTTCAGGAAATGTTGAATTATTGCGAATGTTGGATTACTGGAAAGTTAGATTACCTTGAAGATTACTAGGAATCTTTAGGAAAATGTGTTTGATTAATTGGTAGGTATGTTATATTAATATGTTTGGTTGAGATGAATAAATTGGTGGGTATGTTATTTAAATTACCTAATTGTTCTCTAATTAAATATTATTATTATATTATTTTTTAATACTGATTATTATTTGGATTATATAACCCCCTGCATTTAAAAACTTAGCAAAAACAATCCCATAATAAAAGTTTGGAAAATCAACAAAACACCCTTACCAACCCAACCACTGCCGGCCGCCGGCAACCACAGCAAGCTGTCAGCAACCTAACGATGCACGGAAGGCAGGAAATGGCCTCCGTGCGCCGTATGGCCATTTTTGGCTAGAGATCTAGCAGAAAATGGCCAAACGTGACAGATCTGGCCGAAAATGGCCATATTGGTGAACGGCGGGCATTTTTGGCCTTCCGTGCACCGTTTCGGCTGTGGCGGCTGGCTGCGGCGATGGTTGCCAGCAGTAGGCGGCGGCAGGTGGGTGGGTGGGCTGCAATTTGTTTTGAAGTCAAGGGTAATTTTGTCCAAAAAGTTAATTAAATATGGTGAAATAGTAAAAGTCATATTCATGTAAATAAATTTAAAAATAAGGGCATTATTGTCTTAAAATTTTATTAATAAGAGATAGAATTGTAACAAAAAAAGATAATCCTGGTAATCTTAGAATACCTAAGAAAATAGAGATAATCAGATTACCTCCAATATTACCAATAGTAACCACTATTGGTATTTGAAGATTATCAGTATCTTATATTACTTGACAACCAAACATAGTAACCAAGTAATATAAGATAACTTAACCCTAGTAATCTTCAATAACCCCCAACCAAACACCCCTTAAGAATGCATTTGGTTCAAGGAATGTTGGATTACTGAAATCTTATATTACCTTGAAGATTACTGAGAATCTTTAAGAAAATATGTTTGGCTAGTTGAAATAAATTAGTAGGTATGTTATATTAATATGTTTGGTTAGGAGGAATAAATTGGTGAGTATGTTATTTAAATTACTAAATTGCCCTCTTTTTAAATATTAATATAATATTATTTTTATTATTAATTTTTAAATAATTTCTTTTAACCCCCCATATTTCAAATTTAGCTAAAACACCCTCACTTATATAAAACTTTAATTTATAACAAACTCACCCTCACCGCCCTGCCGCTAGCACAAACCACCGTCGGAAGTCATCATGAGCAGCCCACTGTGATCGGGAGGCCCCACTATGGCCGTTTTTGCCATATTGATGGCCGAAAAGGCCATATCAGGAGTAGATCTGGCCGGAAATGGCCAGATCTGCTCTCGATATGGCCAGATCTGCCATCAATATGGCCAAAAACAGCCATATCAGGGCCTCCCGGTCACAGTGGGCTGCCCACGATGACTCCAGGTGACTTCCAGTGACTTCCCGCAGTGGCCGGCGGTGGTTTGGCTGGCAGCAGCAGGTGGGTGCGGGTGGTGGATAAAAGGTGTAAACTAAATATGCATATTTTGCAGCCAAATGTTTTGAAGGACAAAAAGAGATTCGTGGCACAAAGCAAACTGCTACCAAAGCTTGAGTACTTACATATATGTACAGCTCTCTCTCCCTCTGATTATATTACATATCGCACTTTAGAGACCTTACAATACATATACATACATGAACTCTTCTCTCTAGTTATTTATTTGTTTCATTCAACTACTCAGAAACCAACCAAGTCCAAAACTGATGGCAAAGAGTGCCCTTTCCCTTCCTCTCTCTGTTGCTCCCCTTCAGGCCTGGCCAGTTCAGGCCCTGCCACAAAATATGATTCCTTGGGGTTGTCACTGATAATCCTCTCTATCAATCTTGCAGGTACGTTGAACGCGATTTCCATGGCCTCTCTCTCCACTTGGTTCATTATGTTAATTTTCCCTTCATATCAATAGAGCAGATATTGAAACTCTTAGCTTGTAACTATAATTATCTAATTCTGCCAAAAAATATTACTTGATTAATGCTAATTTTCTTATATGATCTTTATTTTTATTGGTTTTACCTGCAAGGAAGTTTCTCTGGTTGTTCAGGGCATTGATTCCAAACCCAACTGTTCGCAGATTCTCATTTTGAGCAACCAGGGCTATAGGATGACCTGCCGGGATTATGAAAACATCACCTGGAGACAATTCAGCTGTGAGTTTTTGAAGTCTTCCACTACTTTCTTCTTCCTCTCTTTGTTCTCTTGGCTCCTGTGATCCTTGGCCTTGATGTGAAAGATGTGGGCAACCCATTTCTAAGCGTCCCCTTCCTTCTATTACCAGAACAATTGTTGTGGTCTTGGAATTGTAGTGTGGAACCATCATTCCTCCCTGCAAAATGCAAGATATGTTGGTAACACAGTAAAAAAAATGTATGCGTTTACAATGGAAGTAGTTGCTTTCTTTACTTGGTTGATGTCAACATAAGTGACAGAAACTCCCAGTTCTTGTAGTTGCTTGGGATTCTCATTGGGAGTGGCCTCAAAAATTATTATGATATAGAGGTTCTTTGCTAAGCAGATTGAACGGACTACCAGATTCACTGCTTGACTTCTTTGGTGTAGCGTGTTGACTTAATGCTTTAAGCTGCTCTGGCGTGGCTCTTCTGATTGCGCCATGCTGCCTCTGCTCCCCCTCAAAGAGCCTCTGTAGCTGGTCACTTGGTGTCTGGTAAAAAACAAATCGAAAAGTCAGAAACAACCGGAACTAAAACAATAGCCAAAATATTATTCAAATAAAAAAAATAAAAATAAAATTAAACAATTCTACGTTTAGAGCGCGCTGGAGGATGTCATTGCTGAAGACTCTGTAATATGACTCTGGATTTCCACCTCCAGCTGCAAAGTATTTCTGCACCGGAAACAAGTTCAAAAATTATATGTGTAACAGTGTTGACAATCAGAGAAGAAATAATGAAGGGAACGAGGAACTAATGTTGAATAAGTACCCTAAATTGGCTAGGAGTGTTAACAGGATGGAAGAGCACCGGCAACAAGTTCAAAAATTATAGCTAATTGTAGCTTTTCACTATTCTCTTGGTTAATTAGATATACAGTAACCCCTGCAGGAACTCTAAGCATATCTCCAAGACCCATGTTGAAGGATTCCCTTCTTTCTTGTGACACAAGAGTAATGATTCCCTTTCCTGTAAAGAGGGGAAAACAGAATTAACCAACCATGCATGTTTTAATTGGATAACAATTGAAATTCTGAAAGAAATACTCTTGGCTCACCTCTTACAACAACCGCGATAGTTTCAGCATCAGAATGGTGTGGGACAACTAATGTGCTAGGATTAGCCTCTGTAATGACCAATCGGTAATTGTCGATGCCACGAAGAAGTTGAGATCTTTCGCTAAACCTCTGTAAAACCTTGATATGACCCTCTTGGGACTTGAAAAGATAATGGAATCTCTGTGCGTGGAAGTAGTAAGGATTGTTCCTCTGTTGCTGCTCTTCTCTTTGTGGATTTTGCTCGCCTTTTCGCCTTTTGTCCTCTTTTTCTCTCTGTTGCTCGCACCAGCTCTTGCATTGTTGCTGATGTTGCTCCCCTCTCTCTTGCCTTTCACATTGTTTTCGGCACTGTTCGTATGGTTGATGCGACCCATGATAGTTTTCTTCGCCAGCACCTCCATTGCCTCGTAGTAGTTGACTTATTTCTTCCTGTTGTAAATTCCTTTTCGTGCCCTCATATTGTCTCTTGCACCTTTTCTTGCACTGTAGCTCTTGCCTAACCGGTTGCTTCTTGCATAGTTGCATGCATTGCTCGAATTTTTCTTCAGGGTCTCGCGATGAGTAATCGTGACGACTGACTTCTCGCTCACGCTCTCTGTCTCGCTCTCTTTCTTCTCTTTCGCGTTCTCTCTGTCGCTCTATTTCTTCTTGTTCTTCTTCTTTTTCCTCCTCTCGTCGCTCTCTTTCTTCTCCTTCCTCCTCTCGTCGCTCTCTTTCGCGTTTCCTCGTTTGCTCTTTTTCACGTTCCCTCTGTTGCTCTCTTTCCCGTTCCCTCTTTTGCTCTCTTTCACGTTCCCTCTGTTGCTCTCCTCCTTCACGCTCTCTTTCTTGCTCTTGATCTCCTTCTTCCCGCTCTTGTCGTTCCCTTTGCTCTTTTTCTCTTTTTTCTCGTTCTCGTTCTATTTGCTCTCGTTGGCGTTCTTGTTCTTCCTCCCTCACTTCCTCCACACAGCGTTGCTCACACTGCTGCTGTTGCGTCCTCCCGCTTTCCTCCGATTCACAACGTTTCTGACACTTCTGCAGTTCCCGCCGAGAGCCCTCCCCTTCCCATGGAGTGGTACCTGCATACTTCCTGTCACAACGAGCTGCGCAATCAAATAAGCCTGGAAAATCCTTCTCCTCCCGACGGCATTGATCTACGCATCGGCCGAGGTCCGTCCTCTGTCTAGAAATCCCATGACCTAGTGACAGCAACCCAGAAGAGAAATATATGGTGAAGAAGAACCATAAGAATAACGGATAAGGAAACTTAGTTTTGATCACCATTGTTAGCTTCAGGATAGTTGTTAATTAAATGTAAGACAATCCACTTCCTGCATTTTTAAGTACAGAAAGCTGGGAAGCTATGCATGCTGATGCTCTTAGATGTTAGTTACATTTGGCCTTCTGATTCCTATGCAAGGAGACAGGTGTTTTATACTTCCACCATATTTGAAACAAACAAGTTCAATGACATCTGATATTACCTCATTACATATATAACTATATATGCAGCGAAGCGATGGTGTTTGATTCGGAACGGTCCACAGCTGATTATGAACGGCTCCAATGTTGATTTTCTGAGTGCTGGACAGAGTCAGACAGACAATGGTGTAATGGCTCCGAGTTTGGATCAGCTGACTCATTGTCCGATTGTATAAGCACACTTGACAGCTCAAGTGCACACGTGTTGATGTGCATGTAATGAAATCGACAAGTATTCATTCACTGTTGATAGGGACCGTGATTCTCAAATCTCACCCAATAATATAGCATAATTTATGAGTAATCCTAAATACATGTATTAAAGTTATAAATAAACAACTACTGTATATTGATACTTCTTTTTTTTAATAACCAGGGTCGGATGATCTTGTGCGTACTTTAACTAATCTTCAAAACCTATTAAATATCCTATAAACTTAATATACCCAATGTTACAAGATAAATGATTAATCTCCAATGCTCATTAAATACTTTACAGACCTAATGTAACTAATATTCTAAGGTAAGTGACTAATCTTTAGGGTCCATTGAAACCCTACAAACACAACATATCCAATATTTCAAGGTAAGTGACTAATCCCCATAGCTCGTTGAATATGCTACAAACTCAATATTTTAAGGTAAATTACAAATGTGATACGTGACCCCAATGTTTGAACTTAAAAAATAAATAAATTGAGCAAGCTTTTTTAACCGTCAGACCAACCTTTAGTGTTTATTGATACCATTTTTGCTAATAAAAAAAAAAAAAAACCAAAACATTTTATTAGTATTTTAATATTTTATGTCAAATTAAAAAATTACGATGGTTGTTTAGCAGGAAGAGATGTTTCTCTATAATTAGTTATGATGTAACCTTTCAGGAATTTTTCCGAATAAATTCCAATTGTTCACTTATATGTCGTAACCCCTAATGTTGGGCTGAAGGCGAGTCCTCATGATTACTGGCCCATACAGGATGTCAGCTCATCGTATTTTCTAAAAGCCTAAAGAGGTAAATACAGGCCCAGTTTTTGCTCTCTGGGCCCATTGCATTGAATTTACCCACAATCTATTTTTAATTTACTAATGTAAAGTAAAAAAATAAAAAAATAAATACCTTAAACCAGTTCTAACTTGATTAATAATTACAAAGGAAATTGAAAATACGCGATCCAGAATATTTTTCTTAATAGATCTCTTTAACAATTCTGGTAACACGTGGGCTCCACAGAATCCAAGCCACAACCGTTTGCATAAGAAAACATGAAAATTAAAACCGTAAAAGGCGCGAACTCAATGCCAAAATCCCAACTAACTCGGAACTCTAATCACACTATTAACTTCTGCCTTTAACTCTGCTTACTACTTCAAACCCTAATCACCTTCCTTCCTTCTTTAGAACATCAACATCTTCAAGAATCACAGTCTCAAATTATGCTCACCATAAACCTTATACATATCCTTTTCAAGATTACTCATTAATCTCATTAATTACCCAATTCTTTTCTCTTCCAAGAAACCTTCACACAAAGGCCCTAGTTGAACTTGAAGCTATCACTGATGTCTAGAGTGCGCACTCGGGTTATTAGGTCATCGAGCCATGGAGAGTTGGGAGTGTTCAACCAGATCCGTCCCTTTGAGTTTATGTCTCCGGTGGGTTTGTTGGAGATCAAGAAACATCCTGCTCTTGTCAACAATAATGTGAAGCCACGTGAGGAGAAGAAGCCTCACACTCGCCGGGTTACATGGACGTGGGGTTCGCCTGAGAGGAATGATTCGGTATCCAAGAGCAGAAAGAAGAAGCTGGATGAAGGGTTTTGTGCCTTTCTTGAAGGTTGTGCTTTGTGCAAGAAGAAGTTGAAGGAGAATGTAGATGTGTACATGTATGGGTAAGTCTTTTGTTCTTCATTCTTCTCTCGGTTTTTTATTTTTCTGTTTAGTTGGTTACATAGTGTTTTGGTAGACAGAAGCGCATTTTAGAATAAAAATATATACGAATTTATTAAAGTACTTTCTGAAAGGACTCTCAAATACATACCAAAACTCCATTACACTGCCCTTGCAGTTCTGGTTCAGCTTCTTGGTTCCCTTTATTTTATTCATAACTAACTTGTTATTATGTGATTCTGCATAAAATAATTTGGTATTACATAATCCATTGAATGAAGCGATCAAAATTACCAGTCAAAACAACTGATGGCGTTAAAACTTTGGTATTGCAGTTATCTAAGTGCATTTTGCTCCCCTGAGTGCCGAGATGATCAGATTGCTTTGGATGGATTTGATAAAGAAGTTTCTAAGGAATCAACAAAAATCACAATGGGTGGAATGATCAGGACAAAAGACAGATCAAGGCGAGGGTTTGTCACAAATAGAATTAGATAATTCAGTAAGAGTTCAATCGTTAACTGAAGAGATGCATAGCTGTAAGGTTTTTGCATTCAGCTTGCTCTTCTGTAGGAATGGTTATTGTCGCACAGAATTCTTCATAGCTAGCATGTCAATGCATGTGTTTTGTGCTATTCCAATTGCTTCTTGTGAGAAAACTAATGCTTAAGTTTCTTTTGTTAATGAAATTTCTTCAATTTGACATTATATCAGTTGTATTAACTAATTTCTTATTCCTTTTATTAACCAATATTTTGACCAGCCTTAACTTTGTTAATGTTAATATACAGGAAGTGAAAGGTTTGTATATATACAGGTTGTATATGTTAATCAAGGTTTTTTATCACATATATTAAGGGATGATACTGATAGCAGTCACTTGATTTTTAGCGAAGATCATAATTTCACAAACCTGGACAGGGACAGTTCAGTAGTTATACTCGATAAATACTCCCTTTGTTAGTGAAGAAATTACAAGGAAGAAAAGAAACTTTAGCAGGACTTAAAATAGTGTCTTTTGCTTGTCGAAATGCTTTAGCTTTTTCAGCATTGTAAATACAGTAGTTATAAACTTAGGGCAGCAGAGAATAAGACCAACATTACTGCTGTGCTCTGTATTGCAGAGACAAAAGGCACATGCTTTGGCCTTCTTTTTCACCATTTATCCAAGTAATGTTGCTTTCATTTCCCATTAACGAAAGGCTAATGATAATGTTGGCAACTCTATTATAAAAAATAAAAAAAAATTATCACCCTGATTTGCTCAACAGTAATACTATACATACGAATTGATGTGTCACTCTGATCTTTAGTTAATCTTTTTCTTAATTCAAATCATCGATTCGCTTCATGCTTGTATAAGCCAAGAGAGGATTCAACTGGTCATCCTGATTTTACTGTCGTTTCAAATCTATTTTGTTTTAAGAGTGTTCTTGATTCAACCGAGGACGAAGATAATGCAGAAAACACAAATATCTTCAGAAAGGGAAATAGTTGAATTCTTACAACTTTCCTACGCAACTGTCAGATGGCAAAATAAGCAGCTATGCAGCTGTGCCTTTCAAGTTTTCTGTTCACCTAATCACCTCCCTGAAAAAGGAGACCAAGAGGTTTCCCTTTTCAGTAAAGCATTTGCAGGACAAAAAATTGCATCAGGTCTTTGTAATGAGTACCCATCAACCAAATACCTACTCCTCCATTTTAATTAAATCATCAGAACAACTGAGAATGATTATCTTGAAACCTGACATCTTTCTTTAATGAACCTTTCTTTTTTAGTTAATCCTCATATAATCTACTTGTCATTGTTTGGTTGGGCGCGTTCATCGTTAACTTCCATATTAAGATGTTTTAAGCTCTTGATAGTCTGCAAATAACTGTTTCCGAATCATAGTATATGGTCTGCGAGTCCTTAAACATATAAAGATTGGTTAAGCAAATAGCTGAATGTATATATTCAATGTGAACAGTAGACACATTGGACATGTGAAACAACAGTAATAAGAAAATAGCATTGTCTAAATAATTACAGCAAACCCAAGATGAATACAGAATTACCAAACTTTTTCTGTTGGTGCACTATAGAAACATCTCAAATCTCAATCACTGAAGTGGGGACCGATTGAAAGTAGCACAAGGAACAAGTAAAGTATATGCCTCTTGAACTTGCGTCAAAAAGTGGAACAGGTCGGTTTGGTTTAAGTATGCCAATCTTTGGCTGCTAAAATCTATTATCAAAGTCTTTTCTACCATTTGGAAGCTATCTGAGCTTTGCAGAACTTCTGATCTATTATTTGATTTGGAATACAATTTTCTAATTGATCAAAAAGCTGGTGCTTAATGCAGAACACAGATTTGTAGTAATAGCGAGTGCCTAGATGTTTTTATTATGTGACTAAAAACCAAAAACCAAGTCAAGGGCTCCTTGCATTCAGAAAAGTGGGGATGAAAACTTCAGGAAACGTTTCCATTACCTAATTGCTTAGTTAATGCTTTTTTTTTTTTTTTTTTTTTTTTTTTAAAAAAACAATTTCTGCATCACGAGCTTTGAACGTCCTAGTTCTGCATTTGATGTTGAGTTTCGGTATCTGGGTTTGTAGAGCTTGAAATGCTTTACAAATACTACAAAGAGTTGCCATAAACTGTGGGGTGTTGCCTGAGTAATTTTACTTTAGTCGAGGTCCTTGTCCCATTTGGACGAATAACCATCGAAATTAAAGCACATAAAGGATTAACGGCCTCAATTCAATTGAAGCTGTTTTGTTTGTCAAAAGAAAAGTGCCCACAACCAAAGTGGAGGTTGATTCCTTTCTTTTTCTTTTTGTGTGCGTGAGAGAGAGACTAATTTGGCACAATCATAGATTAGGACAAAGCTGGTGAAAGAAAGGATGAAGTATGACCTGGTGGGCTGCCAATGTTTGTGTGTTATGTTTCTCACCTCATGCCCCATTATTAAATCATGCTATCACTGCCCCCCGTGGAAATTTATTAATGCATGCGAGAGAGAAAGCTAGCTCTTGCATCAATAAACGTGCAAATACTGCCTATCATAGTTTTGAAAGGTATGTATCAGTCATTTTTGCAGTCATGTTTTTGCTTTCTTTAATCCTAACACACTACTGCTTTCACTGTTTCCTCTGTGGCCCATAAAGAAAGATAAAATTTTATTTATCTAATGATAAATAGCTAAAGACAAATATTGATATAGAATTCTTCCCAAAAGAGGAGTCTCTACTCGCTAAATCATGACTTCCAATATGCCTGCAATATTCTGAAAATCTGTTTTGTGCTTTTATAGTTTGCTATTAATAAAAAGGAAAAGCAAAAGCAGTAAAATTATTAGCTATTCACACCATAATATGTGAGATTATCATGAAACCAACTTTTTCAGTAAAATTATTAGCAGCAACACAGAGAGAGAGAGAGAGAGAGAGAGAGAGAGAGAGAGAGAGCAAGGGCCATTCTGATGTCAATCATAAACTTCAATATTTTTTATATTTCTCTTCTATCACTTTGGTAATTGAGTATCCATCAAAATTCTCTTCACTTTGCCTTTAAAACAAAAAGTAAGTACACAAATGATTAAATTGACCATCTTTCAGTCATCAAAAATATGTCCTAAACTAACAAAAGAATCATGAACAAAATAATCCTCTACCCACTTGGCTGTCCTGAGTTCTCTGCAAAACAAAAAGGCTTGATCATTACAAGTTGGGTGAAATATCAACTTTAAGTATACAATAAACCACTAAGTTTCAAAGTAAAATACCTATTCAATGTGCTGAGCTGCAAAAGCTTTTACCGAACTCAGAAACGCCATGAAGGTGGGTGTTTGTTGATCAGGTAATTGAATTATGCCTTGTACTGAAACTGGTAAGTTATTTTGTAACAATATATGAAGATCAAAGGTACACTGAGTTGGCTATGTGTGGAGTTAGTTATCCAGTCAAGTTACAAAATTTACACCTGATGAAAGAAAGATAATATTAGGCAAAGAACCAAAACGTTTCAAAACCCAAAAAATAATATAAATAAAAAAGTAAAAGAGAGTACCAACCTTTCTTGGTTAGTGGGCAATGGAATGTCTCCATCACCCTTCATGGATAGCAATTTTTGAAGTGATTCCCGCCTGCAACCGCGGACCAAATTTTACATGAGTATTGGAATAAACACACTATCTTCTCAAAAGAACTTACCAATGGAAAGGAAATGTAAGTGTGAAACATTTTAATAATATGCTAAGTACATTGTGGATATGATGTCTCAGACTGAGTTTTCATATTGATTCAAATTATTCTGGAGAAATTTCAAGAGACATGATTTGATTTTTTCAGGAAAATTATGTGGGTATCTCTTCCATTTTCATGATTTATAAAGTATAAGCGAGCCTGAGGACCATAATGATTAAGGACTCTTCATGCCAGCCCATATGAATACTTCCAGCCACCCATAACAAAAAAGCTGAAAATTGATAACTAAATATATAAAGTTTGATAGGGGTTTCACCTGATTGAATGAGATGATGCTAGCCATACTTGATATGCAGAACACCCATTAAACTCCTCCATGGATATTTACAACCTGATTACAGCCCATTGAAACCAATTAATCACTGAAAAGGTCAAGTAACTGCTTTTAAAAATTATGCACAATGTGCAGTAAAAAAAAAAAAAAATTACTAACGAGATGAAGCATAGCAAGCTTTTTTAGTCCCCTCACAACATGTGAACTTGGGGTGTGTGGGTGAGGATGAGAGAGAGAGAGAGAGAGAGAGAGAGCATACTTGATTGTAGGTCATAACTTCTTCCCATCCATCAAAAAAAGCTGAGTTCAGTGTAGCCATGTGAATATGGATAAAGGTCCTCTACTTCAATCCTGGAACTAGAATAACTCATGCTCTTCTTCAATCGGCTATGACTCGACTCGACCTCAGCCCAAAATATGCCATAAACTGGTCTATGATCAGAGAACCTAGATTCCCCGCGTACATAAGATAACTGGTGAAGGCCTTCTCCATACCACAAAATTCGATCACACCTTCACACACAAAATTAGTTAGATCAGCACTGGATTAAAAAGCATAAATTTGCCCATACAGGATCATAGTAATGTTAGTTTGTGAGTAGTTCTTTTTACAGTATGTTATCGTGCCTTCTGGTAGAAGACACGTTCTTACCAAGCAGGTGTTCGGCGCTTCTCCTTCGGGTGCATATCGTCCCCTGCATATCTGTCTGAATTAGTTGAATACTTGTATGTTGGTGGGAAATAAATCTTTCCTTCATTCCATCCCACAAAAACACGACGTTGTCTCTGCTCTATTCGCAACTGTTAAAAAACAGTAAACAAGTTAGATTATAAGTACTTTATGATATGATTCTTGTCATAATAATATCAAAGCATAATGAAAACAGAACAAAGAACATGTATAGGGTTCTAGGAGGGTTGTAAACATACCTGGTCATTTTCCAACAATGCCCTCCAATTTTGCATCTCAACAAGTGCCTTGGCAGATCGGTAAGAGAGGGCAATACGATAATTCAAATCCCCGAGCCAAATTACTCGACTGGAACAAAACATATACGATTACAATTTGAAACGAATTGAGTTAAAAAAATCCTAAACATGTCGGAGTTGTAAATTATCCAGGAAAAAGAAATCTTAGTGTTTAACACACACATCTTCTATGTATTTGTTACAATTAAGCAAATTCTTGTATGAGAAGCGGTACTTATGCGTGGAAATGATAGATGCATTTAACAGATGTCAGCATATGAATCTATGATTGAGTCACGAGTCGACTTAATTATAAACATTAAAGTAATGTCCAAGGGAATTAAAGCAATTTTGTTTGTGTTTCCCTAACTTCCTTCTCTAGATATTCTTTTCCTTCATATGCATAGCTGATTATTGATGATTGATGAACCAGGAACTTACTCATGCTGAAGGATTGTTTCTGGGGACTTCTCATCGCCCGCACCATGAACACGTGGAAACCTCGTCTTTCTCAAGATCTCCATAACATCAGCATTCCTTCTTAGCTGATCCCCCTCTTTCTGTCCAGAGGTTAAGTGACTACAAATAAAGCAAAAGCTTGTTTGGTGCAATAACATGCTGACTGCGATAGATCCCTACCAAAAAAAGCAATGTGAGTTCACTATATGTGGCTCTGATTATGGGAAATCCATAGTAGAGTAAATGGACCAAAAAAAAATATGAAAACTACTATGATTCATTCCAAGAATACCTTATTTCCAAGATAACCCATCAGCCCTCTGCCAACACAAGATACTTTCATGTTTTTAACATGATCTCTCAATTCACTTCTCACCCATACGGTGAGGAATATGCCAACCATCTGCTTACTAGCAACTAGGCAGTACCTTGAATTTCCTGGCATCCTATAACCATGGTCCATGGATGCAGATCCACCATAGGACATTGGTGAGTGTAATACAGTACTTGGTGAATCCCCTGGACCGTTATCATCGTCGGACGAACCCCATCTTGAGTAATCACTAGGCCTGGAGTAATCACTAGGTCTGGAGTAGGAGTAATCACTGGGTCTAGAGTAATCACTAGGCCTGTGACCCCATCTAAAATTTGGGTCGAAGTCACTTGGCCTGTGACCAAATATCACCCTATCACAAACACTGAATCGTCGATCAAGTCTTGGTTGTGAAATGGAAGGGTCATTGTCCATTTTCCAGCTGTGAGTAGTCTGAAATGATCGGCGATGGAAGAAGGATGAATTCTTCCTTCTAGCTGATCCCTCAAAATCTGCATCCATTTCTACAATTGGCTCAGGAATGGGAGATGGTGTATAACAAGCACTACTTCCACTAGTTCCAGGACGATTATTAAGAGTCCTTCGAATGAGAGCCAGCCATTTTTTGGCAGGACCATTGTCTTCTGCCCCCAGAACATTACCAGCATTTAGAGGAACTATCTCTTGAAATCTGAAATATACGTTGAACAGAAATGCCATGATCAGTAATGGGTCAATTACAGATTCTGTAGTAAGAGATGTGAACTTAATGACAGCTAGACCATACCCAAGGACATAAATGTCTGCAGGAGGTGAGGCATGAAGCCAATCTTCAAGACTCAAATTATTTGGTGGGGATCTTCCAGCCACATTCCAGGTAGCTACAAAAACACTGCTCCAAATTGAAGAAAGAGAAGCAGTTAGCACTGTACATCACAGAGACCCAAACAAGATCATTAAAAAGGTACATTTAACAAACATATAATTGTAAATTAGCACCTATAGTTCTGCACGTCTATAATCCGCGGGTGGTCAAGATTCATTCTCCCCCGCCGGACTGGCTCCCCATTTTTGTTAAATTTCTCTGATGCATCAAAGTGAGGGGGAAGAATTAGAAACAGTGACCTCAAAGAATTCAAAAGAATATCAAGTCCCTTTAAAAAAAAATTATAAGAAATACAGAAATCATAAGCATGGCTTTCCAGCAATACCAACCTGTTTTACTCTTTTTGATTGTGCAAGGCTCCCTCTCTGAGAAGCTGGTCCTATATTCCACTTCACCTCCTGAGAATGAAATCACTCTTAATTTAACAATCATAATTGTACAACAGTGAGAGACATATCTTGAATTGCTAGAAGATGTAATAATCCGAAAGTGAAGAAAGAAAGGGGGGAGGGAGGGAAAGCAGGGAGAGAGAGAGAGAGAGTATATCCTGGAAAAGATAATTCAGAAATAAAGGAAAGAATATAGAATGTTGAATGAATCTTTGATGGAATCCAGGAAAATAAAAACCTCTTCTTATGGCAGACTGAGTTCTGCGTAGTTTAATCGAAGAATTAAGTTTTGGAAAAACCACAACATGAAATGGGAAGGAGTTGTATATATTAAAAAAAAATGAATAAGCATTAAGCACCTCCATAAACAGGATCATCTGCCTGAAAGTCCTCAGTTTTGCTCTTGATATTAAACATTTCCTAACCCTTTTCTTGGACCATGAGAGCTTCATTAAAATGGACAAATAATCATATATCATCAAAACAGTCTCCAACTTTGTTACATAAATTTCACAACCAACACAAGAGAGATCATGAAAAAAAAAAAAAAAAAACCTGCTTTTACAGTTCCCATCTCATTGTTTCACTCTAATTCATATACAGCTCAGTTTATACTATAAGCCCAGTTCCCAGGTTGCTTAGAACAAGCAAAATGTTATTAACTCAAGGGGATTTTCATTCCCAACTTTCCGACTTGGAAGCTCCAAAACAGAAACAATGAGACCTAACAGCGACGGGTTGTTTTGTTATTATGTTGTTCTAGTGGTATATTATGTAGATGAAACACTAGAGTTAACAACAATGAAGATAGAAGCCAGAAAATAGAGTACAAGGAGTTGAAAGAGAAAGAGACACAAAGAGTTGAAGCGTGAAAATGAGATGAAAGATTCTGAAGTAGAACAAGACAATGCGGGAGACAGGGGGAGATAAAGAGAAAGTTATAAACCTGCTCCTTGTCTTTCTCTCTCTTTGAAACAAAGAGCAAAGCGCTCAAGCCTCGTTCTTGTAAACAGCAAAGTATCGAATTTGAACAGAATAAAGGGTAGAAGAAAGAGAGAGAAAGAGAAACATAGACTCAGTCAGTCAGTCTTAGTGCTTTTCTTTAGTTAAATTTTCCTTTAATTTTTATTACAAAACAAAACAAAATAAAAATAGAAAACGAGTATGTCGTTTTGATAGAGGATTGAAGATAAAACGATACCGAAGAGAGGCGTGTAGAAAGGCTGCCCGAGGTCAGGACAGTGTAGGGTTGGGAGATCTAGTATAGTATGTATTGTAGCTGTAGCCTTGTTTCCCGTTCTGGTCTTCCAATCAAAGTTAAAGCACTTAAAGAAGGAAAAAGATAAAGAGAATGTAGTTTATGTCTAATACTGTACTACGTTTGTTTCTGTTTCTTTCTCTCTCTCTCTCTCTCTCTCTCTCTCCTTCTCCTTCCTTTTTTTTTAAGCTTATTCTTTTCTTGGATAAGTATGATTTGTGGTTGTATAATTTATTGACCAAGAAATAAATCCTAACTTTGATCAATAACATCCTATATTGTAAATTAGATTATGCAAGGAAGGAGTGCTGGGAATGATGTTAATCAATCTAGAATTTCTTTTTACAGCTACCTCATAGAAAAAGTTACTCCGGATCTTACCATATCTGGGTCAATGTGATTTTTGTGCCTTTGGCTTTGGCTACCCCTTTTTTAGTCAAGGCAATTGAGCAAAGGATAAAGATTGGTTCAGAGTCCAATTTTATAAATTTTCTCTTATAATCCTGATGTAACAGTTCGTAATTAGATGGACGGGACTCATAGTGAGCAGGCAGGACCCATTTACAAACTAACCAATTATGAATTGTTATATCGAGATTGTGAAAAATCTAAAATACAATAAGTAGTATATCACTGTTCATTTATGTCAAATCTAAATTTTCCTCTTTTTCTTATAATTGATATGCATGCATTATTTTGTGATATTACCTTAATAATACAATTGCAATTATTATAAACTTTCTCGAGTGAATATACCCTAATGAATGGTCTTGTTTTTTTTTTAGCATATTTGGTAATCAATACCCTAAAATCTGGGTTCATGTACCCCGCCGCTGAAGTTGGCTACTTCAGGGCCGCCCTCACAACTGTTTGGCTCCAAACTTTGAAACCTTTACTGACTGACAAGTGACTAGTCTTTCGAAAAATGCAGCACCATCTTTAGACTGTATTGGGTACTAGTGGTGATTATTGATTCTCAGGATTGTTGGAGCTGAAGGAGGAGTTTAATATGTATTTAAGGGGAAATAGTTTTATGATCCTGACGGCGCAACGTTTGAAGTTGGGCAGCAAAAGGCAGCATCCACAATCCAAATGGAAATCCTTTACAATTTCATAAACCACCACTAACCCCAGGTGCAGCTCCTTGCCCACATAATTGCTCTCCTATTGTTGGTCCCAATTAGGAGATGATTATGGTTTGTTTAAAGTGGTGTTGTCCTTTGCATCAAATTAATGTTCTCTACTGTCCCATTTTATGGTGGAGTAATGTTATAGTTATTGAAGGATACGCACCGAATTCGTACACCGAATGACATAACACAATCCTGACCATTTATTAATTATCAGTTAATATTAATAAACGGTCAGAATTTTATCACGTCATTCGGTGTACAGATTCGGTGTATATTTTCGGTGATTCTATCATTTTCCTTTTATGGTGTCTTGTTTTCCCTTTCATTTTAGAATAATGTCTTTATATCCCTATCAATTTAAGTTGGAATGTTCTTCTTAATCTAATATTATTCTAACAACAAATGCAAATTAGCCTGAAACTTATAGATCTCTAAACAATTTAATTTGAAGTAACAAGATTCGCAAAATCTTTCTAATAATAAAATCCTAATTAAGCTCAAAAAATTACAAATATATAACCATTTTTAGATTCTAAATATTATTTTGTTCTAATCATAAATCAATCACAATCTTAATGTGATAATTAAGTGTTGTTACGAAAACTTGCAACAACTAGATATCTAGTCGACCTTAGCGGGATTGGGTAGGATATGCGTGTGATTGTAAATAATTAGTTTGGAATAGATTAAAAAATCCACAACGGGAATAGACAAAAGGTTTTTAAAGTGGTTTAGCAGGTTAGAATCAAGTCTATATCTTCTATTATCTTATTGCTTATATTTGGATTACAGGGGAAAACACATAATAGCAAGCTGATGCTCTCTCTAAATGGTTTCCTATGCTTGAGTGTATATCCTCTAGGATCATCCAAAATAGAGGTAGTGTCTCCCTTCTATACATACTGTTTGACAAAGGTTGGAAGTTGGTGTTACGAGGTAGATTACACGCATAATCCCCATTAATTTGAATATGAGTCAACCCTCACTCATGCTTAAATCAGAATACCCATACTTCAGAGTTCAGACTGATGAGCTTATTGATTAAGTCATATGTTATGAGAGTGGCCGTTAGATCTCAATATGATTCATAGATAGGTAGTACAAATCTGGTCATCGGAAAATCATGCACAACATTAAGCTAAAGTAAGAATTAATGGGAAAATAGAGGAATTGGTATGTATATTCAAAACAAGAATAATGAGTAGAATTGGAAAGATCAAATCAAGGTAATCTAATCAGCAGCATCATAGAATAAAATGAGAAATAGTTGGTAATATGCTTTTTTTTTTTTTTTTCCTTTTTGTATGAATTTTAGAAGAAAATGTTAGTTTTTGCTTCTTTCTTCTAAATAATAATGTGGGTCTCTGTGGAATGATTTGAAGCAATAAGGAGAGAAAAAGTAAAGATTGAATAATACAAAGAAACTTGTAAAGTGATTACTTGTATCAAACAAAACTAAAGAGCCATGGGCCATGTTTAGTAATTGGATATCTAAACTGACCCTACTACCATTTTCAACTATTTATTTTACTGGTACATATGCGCAGTGTATGTTGTGAGAAGACAATACTTTCGGATTCAATGGGAACATGATGAAGAAGTTATATACAAAATGCCCATACCTCATTCTATTTTATAAATCATTTTTTATGTTTTTTTCTTCGTTAATATGCTTGGTTTTATTATTATTATTTTTATTTTATTTTTTTTAAACTGAAGGTGTCGATCAGTTTACACACATTTCAACTAATCTTCGAGATTAATTAAATACCCTACAAACTCAAGGACTAAGTAAGCTACAGTGTGTTATTGTGGTAGATAGTCTCAAGTTTAAACTCGTGAACTCAAGGAAAGAGTAAACCTCCTTGACCGTCGCCAATTCTTTAAGGTTTGGTGTTCAATAGACCTCAAATTTAGAGTTGACCCAGATAACCCGATTAAAAAAAAAAAGAAAAATTATTATAAAGACTGAAGATGGAGAAATTGCAAAATCTAGAAGGAGAATAGGCCCAATTTTAAACGGAGATGACACACGGACAACTCCCAGCCCCACATTGTCAACCATTTTCTGAGGAACTCTAGTAGTCAGTTATCGTCTATGGATTCAACAACACATAATTTATTTTTGATTCTCAAAGTCTTTTCATATAATATTTCAACAGTACCCAGATTCCATTCTGCTGGATCCAGATCCACATATCTTTAGTCCTTTTATATGTTGAAACTGAATATGAAAGAAAAATAGTAGCACATATATATGAATCTTCCCATTGATACAAGAAATAATTACAAAGTAGAATAATAATTGATTATTTATAAGGAAGAATTTGGATTTATTTATTTCTGAGGGAGAGCTTAAAAAATGGATAGTTCTTGGTGGACCATTGATAACAGAAGCTGATTGCATTAAATGCCAACCAAATCAAACGAAATCCCACTTTCTTTCTCGATATCTCATTTCCCCATTATATAAACTTTTGAATGTAAGTTTATAAACATTATGGATTTAAGTACAAAACCCATGTTGACAACAAGATTATTATTATTATTAGTGATGAGTAATTAATTAATATAAGGTTGGAGCAGTAAATCTGAAAGAGAAGAAAGAACAAAAAAAAGTCAAAAAAACCACCATAAAACAATTCCAAGAAGATTTGCTTGCTTGCTTTGAGCTTATCTTTTTGTTTCATGTCTTTGGCTACAAATATTACAAATCAAAATCAATCAAGATTTACGAGGCAGTCAAAGGTTAGCAGCAGCAGTCGTCGTTGCTGATTTTTCTTTTCTTTCAGATTCTTTTTCTGCTTTTTTTTTTTTTGAGGGTTTGAACTTTGAAGCACCATGGAGACCCCATTTCTTTCTTTTTCTTTTGTGTCTCTCACTCCTTCTCTCTATTTATCCGTTTTAATCCCCTTCTTCTTGTCGTTTTCAAAATTTTGCCATGCCTTTTTTCACATGTTACAGCTTTTTTTTTTTTTTGTTTCCATACAGGTTCTTCTAAACTTCATTCACATCTACACTCTACATTATTCTTTAATCATCTAGGTTTTCGGAAATATTTAATACATGTATACTGT